GAACTGGGTGAACTGCGCAGCTACCTTGGCTTGCAGATCACCCGGGACAGAGCACGGCGCACCATCACACTGACTCAGTCACGCATGGTGCAGCAGGTCCTTCAGCGCTTCAGTTTCATCTGGTCCTCAGCACAGGCCACTCCTCTGGCTACAGGTCACTCGCTCTCAGCTCCACCTTCGGACGAGTCCGTAGAGCCGAGTGGTCCTTACCCAGAGTTAGTGGGCTGCCTCATGTACCTGATGACTTGCACTCGTCCTGACCTTGCGTACCCTCTTGGCCTTCTGGCTCGCTACGTGGCTCCTGGTCGGCACCGAAAGGTGCACATGGATGCTGCCAAGAGGGTACTACGCTACTTGTGCAGTACATCGGGCATGGGGCTCGTGCTTGGAGGACGGGGTGACGTTGTCCTCACTGGTCACTCGGACGCCTCTTGGGTTGACGACCAGGCTACGCAGCGGTCGTCACAGGGTTACACCTTCAGCCTTGGTTCTGGTTCAGTTTCCTGGCGTTCTACACGTTCGTCTTCAGTTCTCGGCTCCAGCTGTGAGGCAGAGATCTACGCCACAGCCATGGCTGCACAGGAGCTGCGCTGGCTCACCTACCTGCTGACCGACTTGGGAGAGCGGCCTCGTTCTCCTCCAGTTCTGTACGTCGACAACAAGGCCGCCATTGCCTTGTGTCAGGAGCACAGACTGGAGCACAGAACAAAGCACATCGCTCTCCGTTACTTTCTTGCTCGAGAGCTGCAGCATCGTGGCCAGCTTCGTCTTACCTACGTGGCCACTCGGGCCAACACTGCTGATATATTCACCAAGGCGCTTTCGGCTGGTGATCATCAGCGTTTCTGCACTTTGTTAGGCCTTGTGCCCACTCTTCCTCACTTGCTGTAGGCTTTGTTTGTACCATGATTTATATGTATTCCTGCATGCTTGTTCTTGTAGGTAGATATCACTGTACTGTTGTTGTTACATATATATTTCTGCATGTGAACTGGCCTTGTGGCCTTCTTGCTTGTGCTCAGACTGCGTGGTGACGTTGTGATCCACCCTGAGCTTGCTTTGCACTTCCTGACTGGTCTTGTGACCCTCTATTCTCCCCCACTTTGCCTATGGGGGTGTGTCAAACATATGTGTATATATGTTATAGTTTGGTTAGGCTTAGTGGGGTACTCACTGTGGGGTACAACCCCTTAGGTTTCTCCTTTGTACCTTTCCCTTCGATAGTCGACACTCACTTTTCCCGTAAGATTCTAACAACCCGGGTCTTATTATAAGTGCTATATTTTTTAAAATATAATGAAATAAAAGGGTGTTGTAATGCATATTTGCGTTTTTTAAACGAGGAAACACCCCGCGAATGTCTTGAGCCGAGAAACCGGGCACAATCCATGAAGCATCTGAATGCTTCATGCTCATTGGCCCATATTCAATGGTAAGATTCCAAGGTGGAGGGTGAAGAGTGGAGGTAGCTGGGTGTTGAGAGGCTGCCTTGATTGTATTTTGTGACTCCTGTGGCCTACCATGTGCCACTGCTTGCTTAATTGACATGAATTAACCTCTAAAGAACACTTTTGAGGTTGGGGGGGGGCGGGGGGGGGGGGGGGGGGGGTTATAATGATTTCACCCCAATTGGGGGGTATAAGGAAAACAATCTTGAATAACATACCCCCCCCCCGTATTAAAGACCCGAGAACATTATTATGGGGGGGTCTTTTATCCGGGGGAATACGGTAGAAATCCTCCTTGACAATATATATAAAATTCTCAAAGTAGGAATGCAACGGAATGATGAGATTAGGAATGTGGGTGATACAAATAGCAAACCCTAACTGATTTGTACTCACTAAAGAGCACCTCACTACAGTCTATCACAAATATCAACATTTGACACACCCCCGTAGGCTAAGTGAGGGGCATCAAAGCAAGTGTTGGGCTGAAAACAAGCCCTTAGGATCTTTTCAAGGCTAAGACTTTGGGTAGAGATGTTGTAATTGCGGAAGCGTATAGTAAACTTGCCGAACCACCTTGCACTAGTGTGTGAGAGCAAGAGATTGATTATAGCAAGGTAATACAGGGTCTTTTATAAGGTTACAAGGAATACGAAAAGGTGCAGCTAACAGTTTTGCTGTTGCGGTTCGATACAGTAACGACTCGGGCAACTGCTCAATACCGAGTCAGTTGTTTGTCCTTGCTGTCGCGCTGTATTTCGTCGAGTCAAGGGTCGCTGACCTTTGACCTTCGCGTAACTTCCAGCTGTTACGTTTTGTTAACCTCCTTGGTTGACTCGCTTGTTGCTTCACTGTAGTCTGCTTCGTTCGTGTTATTACTTCAATACTTCAGAAGCGCCAACTATGTGTTTCCAACAGCAAGCAGGGTGAACAAACGGTCACAAGACCAGTCAATGCAAGAAGCAAAACAAGCTCAGGGTGGATCTCAAGGACACCACACAAATTCCGAGCACAAGAAAGCGTCCACAAGGCCAGTTCAAGAGTTCACTAGGATATATAATAGCAAAGCACAACAAGCAGAGCAAGCAACAAGGCTACAGCAACCGACGACCTGCCTCAACAAGCCCTAACTGCACACAGAACCGGTGGTGATCACCAGGCGCCAAGGCCTTGGTGAAGAGGTCAGCAGTGTTGGCCTCTGAGGCCACAAAGTCCAGGCGCACCTGGCTGCATCACTGTAGCTCACGCAGGAGGAAGTACCGGACGTCGATGTGCTTCACCCTGGTCTCCAGTCGAGGCTCGCAAGACAAGAGAACCATGGCCTTGTTGTCAACGAACAAGGTCTGAGCAGTGTGAGGTCGCTCACCAAGGTCAGCGAGCAAGAAGGTCAACCAGCGAAGCTCCTGAGCAGCCATAGCACCAGCGTAGATCTCTGCCTCTGCACTGGACGAAGCCACCGACGACGACCGTGTGGACCTCCATGACACAGCCCCAGCTCCCAGAATGAAACAGTAACCCTGGGTCGAGCGCTGAGTCTCCACGTCGTCAGCGTAAGAAGAGTCACAGAGGCAAGTCAGCTCAACTGGCCGAGTCCCTCCAAGCACAAGCTCCATGCCTGATGTAGTCACCAGGCACTTTGCCACCCTCACGGCAGCTGTCCAGTGAACAGGACGGTGCCTCCCAGGTCCAACAAAGCGAGAGAGGACGCTAAGAGGGTAGGCGAGGTCCGGACGAGTACAAGTCATCAGGTACATGAGGCAGCCAACAAGCTCCGGGTAGGGACCACTGGGCTCAAAGGGCTCGTCGAGGAAGGGGCCGGTGAGTCTGTGGTCTACAGCAAGAGGAGAGGGCTGTGTGGTAGAGAACTGAAGCCCGAACCGCTGAAGGACCTGCTGCACCATGTGTGAATGAGTCAACGTGATGGTGCGAGCGGCTCTGTCCCTGGTGATCTGCAGGCCAAGGTAGCGCTGCAGTTCACCAAGGTCAGTGCATGTGTGTCTCTTCTGCAGTTCGAACTTCACCTCAGCCAGAGCTGCCCTGTCTGGTGTAGCAAAGACCAAGTCGTCGATGTAGACGAGTATAAAGAAAGGAGTGGAGCTGGCACGAACAAACAGTGACGGGTCAGCAGAGGAAGGGCGAAACCCTAGGTCACGAAGTGTGGAGCGAAGAGTGTCGTGCCACTCACGGGGTGACTGGCAGAGACCGTAGACTGGTCACCTCAGGCTTCACTGGGTCCCAGTAGGGAAAGTACCAGTGAAACCAGGAGGACGGCGCAGCCAGATCTCCTTGTGCAGTCGTCCCTGGAGAAAGGCAGTGGAGAAGTCGAGGAAGTGGAGCTCGTAGTCACACTGTGCTGCTACGTGTAGTAACACCCGAAGTGTAGTCATCTTCGGGGTCGGAGCGAAGGTCTGAAAGAAGTCAACTCCCTCGTGCTGACTGAAGCCTCTCGCCACATAGCGCGCCTTGAACACCGGGGGTGATTCAGGTGGCCGCTTCACCTTGAAGAGCCACATGCCATCAACTACGTTCGCCCGGGGAGGGGGAACTGCGTCGACGTACGTGCCTGTGGATCTGCAAGACGCCAACTCTGAGTCCATGGCCGCCTTCCACTGAGAGGCCCACGGCCCTGATACTGCCTCATGGTACGTGCGAGGAGTCGGTATGTCAAGGGCGTCGGGGTCTCCCTCAGGGGAAAGCAGCATGGCACAGAGAGTGGGAGAAGTGACTGCCAGGTACTCCAGCTCAGAGTGCCTGTCCTCTAGGACGTCAAAGCCAAGGGCAAACTCACCCCCGACGGACAGAGGACGGGTAGGCGGAGCGGGCACCAAACGAGTGTTGTAGTCAAGACGGCTGGCGGTGGCAAAGTCAGCGACAGCGGCAGTGAGAGCCGAGACAGACGACGGAGAGAAACGAGGGCCAGTGACACCAGTGGCTAGAACCCGGGAGACAACAGGGCGAACAGCACGGTAGTAGTCGGAGATACGAGTAGGGGAGACAGGAAGAGAAGACGGAGGAGGAGACGGTAGAACTGACACCGGAGGAGGAGAACGACGAAGAGAGGTACAAAGGAGGGCAGTGTGGAGGTCGGTAATGGGGGACGAGGGACGAGCACTCGGAGGACAAGAACGGGAACGGTAGTGATGGACAACAGGAGGAGAAGACCAGACCGCCGGATGGGCGTCAAGAGGAGAAAACGTAGGACCAAACGCAGGAGGAGACGGAGGGCGGACAGGAGGAGAGGAGGGAAGACCGAGGGCCCGGAGGCCACTCACGGGCGGGAACAACTGCCGCTCCAGAGGGAGCTGCTGCGGCTGCGGTGGTGGCGGCGGCTGCTGCTGCTGCTGTGGCTGCGGCGGCTGCTGCTGTGGCTGCGGCGGCTGCTGCTGCTAATGCTCCAGCAGGTCCAACTACCGCAACTCCTGCCGCTCCCGCTCCAACCGCTCCTGCTCCTCGCGCGCACGCCGGCAGACCGCCTGGTAACGCGTATCGTGGCGGTGGGGAGGCGGAGTGCCCTCCGCAGACATAGTGCCCCCAGCTCCAGTCGCCTCAGAACTAGCACCCCCCAGAACCAGTATCCCCAGAAGGGGTACCAACAGGGTCAGGGTCCCCAGCTCCAACGCCCCCTGTCCTGGCACCCCCAGTGCCAGGACCTCCAACTCCAGCACCCCCAGAACTAGCACCTCCCGTGCCAGCACCTCCAGCTCCAGCACCCCCAGAACTAGCACCTCCAGTGCCAGCACCTCCAGCTCCAGCACCCCTTGAACGAGCACCCCCAGACCGAGCATCGCCAGTGGCTGCACCTCCAGCTCCAACACCAACCGAGTCCACAGTAACCTGTCACGAAAGTGCCGAAGGCTGCTGAGGGGACTGTGAGGAGGACTGCGGGGAGGGAGACGCTACCTGATGCACGACCGAGGGTAGAGGGGTAACGTGAGACACACCTGACGGGGCAGGACCAGGGGGGGGTGGGGGTACCGGAGGAGCGGGAGCAGGGGGAAGAGAGGGTGCGAGGAAAAGGGGGGGAGGGGGAACCGAGAGACCTCTACAGGGGTACCGGGTGTAGTAGGACACTGACTCGTCGAACCGGACGTCACGGGAGTCTAGGAAGTGGTGGAGGGGCGGGTGGTAAAAGGACCAGTCGGCCGAGGCTACTGGGAAACTAAGGAAGACACAGGGGACGGCGCGAGCCGAGAGATTGACCGCAGAGGTGTCGCGGACAAGCGCAAGGCAGCCCCAGACACAACAGGCTGACCCAACACCAGGGGACCTGGTCCAAAGACTGGTCGGTGAAGCCTCTGGCCGCGAGACGCGCAGCTGGAGGTTCAACTGGTGAGCGGGCCACAGAAAATGGGGCTCATGGGCATGAATCATGGACGTGCGGGCGATGTCCATGACCAAGCCAATGCGGCGCTCAGCAACCCCATTCTGCTGTGGGGACTCCGACAGCGTCCAGGACTGTACGATGCCCTGCTCGCCACAGAATCCGGCAAGAATGCCTGAGCGAAACTCACCCCCACGGTCAGAGTGGAGACAGGAGACACGACGGCCACGAGTGCCCTCAGTGGCTAGAAGCCACCGAATCAGCGTAGAAGTCACCTCGGACTTCTTCGCGAGAGGAAACACCGTGGTGTACCTGGAGAAGTCGTCGACGACCACCAGAAAGTAGCGCTCCCTCTCAGGTCCCTGTGTAGGTGCAGGGCCCCAGACATCCAAGTGGAGTGTCTGGAAAGGAGCAGTGGCCGGGCGAAGAGAGGAGGAGTGCGGAGCGGCACGAAGACGGCCGGCAATGCAAGGAGTGCACGGGGGTGCAGGCGAGGGAGGGAGCGACGGTAAGACGCGAGGGAGACTTGAGACAAGACGATGACTAGCCATAGTGCGGAGGCGAGGGATCGACGGGTGGCCAAGACGGTGGTGCCACAGGACGGTCCGGTTGGTGAAAGACTGACACGAGCAAGACGCAACAACCTGACCAGACACGACAACCGGAGGGGACGCAACTACCTGACTGGACTCGACAACCGGTGGAGGCGCAGGAACATGGGGGGACGCAGCGACCTGAGGTGACGTGGACACCGGGGAGTGCTCGGTGTGGAGGACGTAGAGATCGGAGCGCGGCTCCCTGGTGAACGTGGCCAAAACTCTGCCAGTGACAACGTCCGTACAGACTGCAGTCCGCCCACCCCCCACAAAGGTAACGGTGATCCCCCTGTCCTGGAGGTATCCAACACCCACCAAGTTCCGAGTGAACGAGGGGATGTGGAGGCCGCACAGGACACCAGAGGGGACCACAGGGCACGGGAGGGTGGTAGAGCTGCGTGCCATGGCTGGTCCTGAGGAAGGATCAGCTAGGGCAACCGGTACTGGAGCAAGAAGCGGTGTGAGTGTCGTGTGGTCGCGGAAGAAGCACTGCGACGCGCCAGAGTCCAGCGTGAAGGACAGGGACGCCACAGCCTGTGGTGAACCCGATGTGGAAGCTACACAAGCACCTAGAGCAGAAACACAAGCACCTAGACTAGAGTGGCACAATTCTACGCTAACAGGAGGCAAGCAAGCTAATCTACCAACACGCGAGCACACAAATCCATCAGCACTATAGTCAATATCAGCATACAAAGCATACTGACGAGCATCATCCATAGACAGATCAAAGACGGGAATCTAACGGTCCAGCAGGCGAGCCCAGCGCGGAGTGGTCGCCTCAGGGCCCCAACGGGCACGGTAGAGTTCGTCGAGGCGGCGGAAGCACCGCGTGGCAGAGTAGTCGTCGTGGCCGCAGACACAGAGGCTGCCCAGTCCGGTGAGGCACCAGTGGTCACAGGGGCCAGTGTCACGGCGAGGGGGGCGAGGGGCCCAGCTGGAACTGCTGCTGCTGCGGCCGGAGCTCCCTGGTCCTCTTGGGCCCCACTGCGGCGGGGGGCCTCAGTGCTGCTGCGGACCCCACTGCAGTGGGGGCCCCCAAGGCTGGAACTGCTGCGGTGCCTGCTGCTGCTGCTGTCCCTGCTGGTGCTGCTATCTCTGCTGTGGCTTGTGCTGCTGTGGCTGCTACTGCTGAGGTCCGACACCCCTGCCGGTCTGAACACCGCCAGTAGGCGGGCCTGTCTGTCCTGCACCTCCTCCAAGGCTCCCTCCTCCTGGGGCACCACCGCCGCCTCCGCCACCACCACCGCCTCCTCCACCTCCCTTCCCGCCCTTCTTGCCACCCTTGCCCCGTTTCTGCCAGTCAGCGGCAGAGACGGCAGCAGTGTCCTCAACAACCGACACAGTAGCAGAAGCGCGGGTAGCAGTGAAAGTGGGAAGCTGAGGGGCGGCACACCCCACAAAAAGACGGGGGGGGCACTGCGTCAGTGGCAGAGGCAACGGAGAGGAGGTTACTCGCGATCTTCCCGAGAGCAGTCTCAAGGAGATCGATAGTAAGCTCAGAGGGGTGCTTATAGAGAAGCACGTCGCGAGCAGTAGCGAGGCGGTCAGGGAGGCGTGTGACTAACCAGTGCACAGTGAGCCACATGGGGGGGGGAGTAACAAAAAGCTGGGCATCGGTGCAGGCTGCACGGAAACCGGCGTCAAGTGAACGCAGGTGAGTCACGAGGTCGGACACAGTCGAAAACAAGCCAAGGTCGGGAAACACGAACGGCATGAGGAGGCGACTAAGGGAGGCAGAGGAAGGGGTGGAATAGCGCGCAACAAACAGCATCCCAAATCCCCTGCGCAGTATCCACCTAGGCAAAGTGGACGGCCTCAGTCGGTGGGAGGAGCTCCGTCAGCGCAAGAGCAGTGGCAGCGTCGCGAGAGTCCCACACGTCCCTCGCCAAGACACGACGGTCGTAGTCCGCCTGCGCCGCAGGAGACGGCTCCGGGTCGGTCGGGAGGGGGTCGGGAGGCAGGGGCGCCTTGAGGGCACCAGAAGCGTGGGCCCACAGGGTGGCGCCGTCCTGACGCTGACTGGTGAGGTAGCGCGTGGCCTGGCGCTACCAGGTACTGAACTCGATCGGGCTGCCCTCCGCATCGAAACGAAGGCGGCGGGACTCCATGCTGGAGGCTAGGCTAGAGGCGGTTGGAGGCTAGGTGCTAGGCTAGAGACTAGGCTACAGAGGGTCGCCAGGGAGAGGAGCGGCTGCCAGCCGCTGAGCAGAAGGCCAGTGACAGTAGGACGGTTCGGGCCCGGGGAACAGGGCGGTGGAGGGGTGAAGGCTAGTGGAGGGGTGACGGTTCGGGCCCGGGGAACAGGGTCGTGGGCAGAGGGCAGGCTGGGCGCTGCCTGGGGCGCGGGCTGGTGCGAGGGCAGGGCGCGGGCCTGGGCGACGGGCTAGGGCAACGGGAAGGGCGCAGGCCTGGGCGACGGGCTAGGGCGCGGGCCTGGGCGACGGGCTAGGGCGCGGGCCTGGGCGACAGGCTAGGGCGCGAGCCTGGGCGTCAGGCTGGGGCGCGGGCCTGGGTGACGGGCTAGGGCGACGGGTAGGGCGCGGGCCTGGGCGACGGGCTAGGGCGCGGGCCTGGGTGACGGGCTAGGGCGCGGGTCTGGGCGACGGGCTAGGGCGCGGGCCTGGGCGTCAGGCTGGGGCGCGGGCCTGGGTGACGGGCTAGGGCGACGGGTAGGGCGCGGGCCCGGGTGACGGGCTAGGGCGCGGGCCTGGGCGACGGGCTAGGGCGCGGGTCTGGGCGACAGGCTAGGGCGCGGGCCTGGGCGTCGGGCTGGGGCGCGGGCCTGGGCGACGGGCTAGGGCGCGGGCCTGGGCGACGGGCTAGGACGCGGGCCTGGGCGACGGGTAGGGCGCGGGCCTGGGCGACGGGCTAGGGCGCGGACCTGGGCGACGGGCTAGGACGACAAGCTGGGGCGCGGGCCTGGGCGACGGGCTAGGGCGCGGGCCTGGGCGTCGGGCTGGGGCGTGGGCCTAGGCGACGGGCTAGGGCGCGGGCCTGGGCGACGGGCTAGGGTGCTGGCCTGGGCGATAGGCTAGGGCGACGGGCTAGGGGCGCGGAGGGCGCTGACGCACGGAGGAGGAGGGCGCTAAGGCGCGGAGAGGGCGCGGAGGGCGCGTGCTAGGAAGGAATGAGGAACTAACCTACTCGTGATACCATCTCAAAGTAGGAATGCAACGGAATGATGAGATTAGGCATGTGGGTGATACAAATAGCAAAACCTAACTGAGTTGTACTCGCTAAGGAGCACCTCACTACACTCTATCACAAATATCAAAATTTGACAAAAATCAAGATACAAGGCTCCCAAGATTAAACTAATCCCACTAAGGGATAAACTAGCCTTGAAAATACTCTTGAAGCTTGAGAGGAGAAAGAGAGCTTGAAGAAGGTTGATGAAGCTTTAGCAAGTAGGTAGGTAGCTTCTTGTAGAGCTTGTCCTTGAAGTAAACACAATTCTAGTTGTGTAGGAGAGTTTGTTAGGAGAACCAAATGACTTAGAGAAATCCCATTTCCAAATTGGTAAGTTGGAGTTGGGAAGTGGGAATGAGCCTCAAAGCTTCAACCCCTTCCACAATACCCCTTGGGGCTCTTCCCAACCATGGCTTCCATGGTTGGGGAGCTTCTAGGCTTGGAGCCTATGTGGCATCTTTGTTTGGTTGGGAAAACCCAACTTAATTGTGTTGTATGGTTGCTAGGTTCTTGTCAGATATATATGCCTTAGCCTATGTAGGCTGTAGTGGGGTAGACACTAAGGGGTACAGCTTTCATATTTGTATCTCACACTTTCCTAGTTCATTCATTCCTGTTTCTTTCTTCACATGGTATAGAGCGGGTTCCTACATGGGACCGTTCCTTCCTAAGGGCCCACCATAAGAATTTTCTTTTAGCTGCCCGAAGCGCATTGCGCCCTGCCCTAATTTTTTTTTTTTTTTTTTTCGCGGCCCCCTAGCGGCTCCTACGCGGCCCCTACGCGGCCCCTACGCGGCCCCTACGCGGCCCCTACGCGGCCCCTACCCGGCCCCTACGCGGCCCCTACCCGGCCCCTACGTTGCCTCTGACGCGGCCCCTGACGCGGCCCCTGATGCGGCCCCTGACGCGGCCCCTACTCGGCCCCTACTGCGGCCCCTGACGCGGCCCCTGACGCGGCCCCTGACGCGGCCCCTGACGCGGCCCCTGCCGCGGCCCCTACGCGGCCCCTGACGCGGCCCCTACGCCGCCCCTGACGCGGCCCCTCCGCCGCCCCTGACGCGGCCCCTACGTCGCCCCTGACGCGGCCCCTACGTCGCCCCTGACGCGGCCCCTGCGCCGCCCCTGACGCGGCCCCTGCGCCGCCCCTGCCGCGGCCCCTGACGCGGCCCCTGACGCGACCCCTGCCGCGGCCCCTGACGCGGCCCCTACGTCGCCCCTGCCGCGGCCCCTACGTCGCCCCTGACGCGGCCCCTGTGCCGCCCCTGACGCGGCCCCTGCGCCGCCCCTGCCGCGGCCCCTGACGCGGCCCCTGACGCGACCCCTGCCGCGGCCCCTGACGCGGCCCCTACGCGGCCCCTGACGCGGCCCCTACGCCGCCCCTGACGCCGCCCCTAGCCGCCCCTACGCGGCCCCTACGCCGCCCCTGACGCGGCCCTCAGCCGCCCCTGACGCGGCCCCTACGCCGTCCCTGCACGGCCCGGCCCGGCCCTGTCCTTGACGCGGCCCTTGCCGCGGCCACTCGGCCTCGACTTTGTCCCGGACCTGCCCCGGCCCCGACCCTGTCCCGGCCCCGTTGCTGCTCGGCCCCGACCCTGTCCCGGACCCTACTCGGCCCCGACCCTGTCCCGGCCCTGTTCCGGCCCCGACCCAGCCCCGAACTCTCGGCTCTGCCCCTGGTGAGACCTAGCCGGGCCGAGCCGCGCGGCCGAGTCGCACTGCGCTGTCGAGTCGCCCTGCCGAGTCGCGCTGTCCTGCCTAGCTCAGTTGCACTGCTGCCGCTGCTAGTCTCCTGCTGCTCCTACCATGGCTAGTCCTACCCTTCTCACCTTTGATGCTGAGGGTCGAGCGGTTGCATTTGATGCCTGGCTCGATGACTTGCAGCTTTTCCTTCAGTGCGATAGCAGAGATGGCCTCTCCCTGTTTGACCTTACGTCGGGCGCCTCTACTGCCCCTGCTGCTGATGCTGACAGTACCGTTCGCTCGCAGTGGCTCACGCGTGATGCTGCTGCCCGCCTTGCTGTGCGCAGTCACCTACCGGCTACTGAGCGCGCGCACTTTAGTCAGTACAAGAGTGCTAGGACTCTGTACGACGCTGTAGTTGCACGCTACTCTTCCCTTGCCACTGCTGCGCTTAGCCGCCTCATGCTCCCGTACCTTTTCCCTGACCTCGCTGCCTTTGCCACAGTCACTGACCTCATTACGCACCTCCGCACTAGTGACACTCGCTACCGCGCTGCGCTCCCTGCTGAGTTCTGCGCCCAGACCCCCCCCCCCCATGTACATCACCCTCTACCACCTAGTCACTCGACTCCCTGACACTCTCCGCTCGGTCAGGGACCACTTCCTCTCTCTCTGCCCTACCACCCTAACTGTCGACCTCCTTGAGGAGCGCCTCCTTGCAGCAGAGACTAGTATTACCGCTGTAGGCGCCTCTCGTGGTGACCCCCGTACCCCTTTCTTTGAGGGGTGCTCCCCCGTTCCTCTTTTGCCCTCTGTTGCCTCTGCTGCTGCTGTCGACCTTGTTGGCACCGAGTCGGTCAGCGCTACGTCTGCTCCTAGTGAGAGGCGCCGCATCAGCAAGGGCAAGCGGGGCAGGGGAGCTGGAGGAGGTAGTGGGGGCGGCAGTAGTGGCGGAGGCGGCGGAGGAGGGGGTGGGGGTGGGGGTGGTGGCAGAGGTGGGGGCTTCGGTGGCGGCGGTGGAGGTGGAGGCATCGGTGGCGGTGGTGGGAGGGGTGGAGGAGGCGGAGGCGGCGGCGGCGGAGGTGGAGCCGGCAGAGGCGGAGCTGAGCAGCGGGGACCCCAGCAGCAGCAGCGCTCTCGTGGGACCCCTTCGCCCCAGCAGCTTCGTGAGTGGTACGCGGGGCGTCAGGGGTCTGGAGGTGCTGGTCCCTGTACTTACGTCCTGCGCACCGGCGACCGCACTGGAGAGCAGTGTGGCGGCCTGCACGCCACCCAGCGCTGCTTCGGTCGCCTGACGGACGCCTGGTGTGCCCAGTTCCCGGACGCCACTGAGATCCCTCGTTGGGGAGATCTGCTCAGGTCGGGGGTAGCTATCTTTGATCTTGACTTTGATGCTATTCTTGCTGCCATGTATGCTGTGTCTATTAGTGCTGAGGGTGACTGTTACGTGTGTGTTCCGCCTGACCCTGGTATTGAGGCTGCTGCTCTAGGTGCTAGTGAGTCTGCTG